GAGACTTTATATATTCACTTCGAAAATTTATGCTAAGATTTCTATTAAAATTCATTTTGTTCAGCGAGCTCGCAGAGAAAAATTCAAAGGATTCTAATTGAAAATCGGTAAGACACTCACTGGAAGAGCAATCTTAATAAAAATGGTCTAAAAATATCTGCCAAAACGCCTATAAAAATGTTTGTATGAAATGAAAGACGCCTTTCACATATGTATAAAGCAATCTAAAACTAAATTCGGACAGTTAGGCACATATTCATTACGATTTATTCGTCTACAAGTATACAAAACGACGTTGCGCGAGGAAGCGGTAGGATTCCCTTAGCAACTTAGTTCAAACTGTTTCATCATCAAGTGGATCCGAACCTGCAATCCTAAAGTCGGACTCCTTTATATCGTCAAAAATTTAAGTGCCAGTCCACATTTACCGGATGCGAGCACGAGCAGTCATCTATTGTCAACAATTTTTAAAATGTGGCCAGTTACGACTTTTGTTTTTTCTCATGACAATTAACTGACTTCGCGAGCACAACGGAGCTGTTCCTGATCTGCACTGGTCTTTCTTCAAATGTGAAAGGAGTGTAGAATGGGAATAAATGGGCATGGTAATGGGTGTGAATTAAAACAAAAAAAACATACCGGAATAGAATTCTAGCAATTCGTCAAGAGAGGGGAAGGTGTGTTCGGGCTGCATGTAATATTGCGTTTGATCATCAGTGGTGTGGATCTGATAGAACTTCACATCACGCTCCCCCGAAACCTCATAGAGAACGCAAAGGACATAGCATTTGGCATCTGAAAGAGGTTAGTAATTGCTGTTAGCCACCTGAGCGCTGTAAGGAAATACGATATTGAAAAGAATTAAACAGATAGAGAAATAGGCTGAACAATCTTGACCAGATGCTTGACCTCATGAAGAGTAGACATGCAAAATTGTGACGCAAGAAACATATGAAAAAAACGTTATTTGCTGCAAGATACGAGAAGCGTTAGCTGAGCAGACTAAGCGCTGCGTGGAACAAATCTACCTTGGCTAGGTGGTATGTCTAATGCAGATTCAAGCCCAAGGGGAGGATAATTTATTGTGGTGGTGGAGGAGGACCATCCACCAATCAGGTTGCAGGACAAGATCGTCGCTTTGTATTTTGGAACGTAGCCTGAAGCCCTTACGAGCAGTTAAATAGAACCTAGTACGCATGCAGGAAGGGGCTTTGGCAAAGACGACGGACACTGAGGTGACCATGTCTGGTTAATTACACATCATCTGCTGCCTATATCCATCTGCGATACCGGAGGACATGGAATTTTCACATGGATTCTTAGGTAAGTCCAATACTCTACCACCGAGTCACAGC